GATTGGTGAAACTAATTACATAAAAAGGCTTGAACGTGTCCGCCCGCAACCTCGAGATGTGGTAAAAGTTGATTTTAATCACCTTGATGGTTTGCTTGCTGCAATATTTAAGCGCAAGCAGGCATTAGCTCGCTTGGAAGGCAGTCAAAGGAAGCTCAAGGTTGGAAAATGAAGCCTGACATCGATGTTCTTTACCTGGCGGCCAACAATGCTTTGCGGACGGAAGAGCGTCGGCTCAGGTCTGTAATGAGGGCCGGCCAATTAGGTAACGAAACGTGACTGTCAGGCCGAGTAAATCATTCCAATGACAAGTTGTGTGCCCTTCATGACGTCACTGGTAGAAATGTGAAAATTTGGTTTGTTTTGCTTCCCACGATATCACAGGGATTCACAGGCTGCTTTTGACGACAACATTAAAAATCAAGCATTTAATCGTAATAACACGTGCCCTGTATTCTGCTGATGACGTCACTGGAAAAACTGAACCAATAATCAATTTAAAACTTCCAGTGGGACAAGTTTTATGGGGTGTGTTTTTGCACTGCTCAGGGGCCTGTCACGCTGCTCACGACGTCCCAGGAGCCTGTCACGGTCTACCTGCATCTACTTATGCACTCGTGGTCTACATTCTTATGGTGATGCTACTCGAAAAATAAATAAACCAAAAAATGAGCTGTGTTTTACCTGCTGCTCACGACGTTACGTGACACGACTTATGGTCCTCGTTCCGTGTCACGAATGAAGCTGATGACGGCAGCAAACCACCTTTCCCAGCAGGCTTCCATTCGCCTTACTCTCTTCTACCATGCAGTTTTGAACGGAGCTGTGCGACCTTTTCTGTTGCGTTAAGAAACTACTGCAAGAAAGTCCAAGTAATCCATGAAAAACCACATTTAGGCGTGTCCACACTGAGTTGCCAATGGGGCCGGAGAAAGGCATGGACTGACTCAACATTCGGGTCACCGGCATGATCTGTCTCTCAAAAACACTCCAAAGAATAGTGGCTGGAATAGTGTCCATCGGTGCGACCACTGGCGGACACCATTTTGACATGATTTAGATGGCAATAGTTTCTCCTAGGCTCAAAACGCGTGTTCCGTGGGTGTCATGGCACCTGAACATTCGACGCTATCTGAGAACGTAGAGCATTGGTCTTATGGCAATGGACGGGAAGAATCGATTACATTTGACTATGGGTACCTTCACTTTCTGAAACCTTCCTCCGTATATCTTTCGGATGCCAGTGCCAGACTTTCTGTTACATTTGCAGCCCATCACTTCAAGTTACCCTCCGGCCGTCTGCCCTGAACTTTCCAATTTCAATGCATGGCATTGCTTTGCTGCGTTTGGAAACGACTGCAAGGTGTTAAGTGAGTCCACTTAGAAATAATAAGATGGTCGTTGATGGGCACAATCGTATTTTTTTTACTTTTCGGCCGCCAGCCTCATTTACCCATTTCAAAGGTGCCAATATAGCTTCGGTTGATGCAACCAAGAGCAACACCATTCTAAGAATATACAGAAAATTTCCCTCATATCGTGGAAAAAAATGATCTCATCATTCCTGAACAAAATGTCATTCGAGGTAGAAAACTCCGAATTGCGAAGAGCGTCGCTGATGTGCCTAAGCAAACTCTTTGCGTTCAGGCCGCCAGTACTATCTATATTTCAAATATTCAGCACACTTTCCACCGGTGCAATCACCAGCGGATGCCTTTTTAAAAGTGTTTACAAGCAATTGAAATGTGCAATCTTCGGCAGATTACTAATGCGCACTACCACAGACTGCGAGGCACAATATAGTTTCAATTAGCCTGCATTGGGACCGACCTAGTACCTAATTGCCCGCGAGCATGAAAAAGGTTGTTTTGCAGCTATAAACATATTCCAACTATGAAGCGTGTTTATCTGACAAAAAAGGACAGTGGTCGCATATGGTGAAACATATCCTATGATAATGTGGCTATGGCTCCTAGACGAAGGAAAGTTTCAGCGTAATTGCATCCCATTTTCTGAAAATGTAGAGCATTAAACTTAGGAAACTGATGGGAAAAATCGACTACAATATGACTATGGACACCCTCCCTTTCTGAACCGCTCCTCCGTGTGGGTTTTGGGTGCCAGCGGCAGACCTTTTATCCTTTGCATTTAAGTCTTTCATTTGTTGCCATAGCGTACATATTAAGTTTTCTAGGGTGGGGTGGGGTGGCATTGGACCTACAGAAAGCATGTTTCTACGCGTGCAACCCAAAAGGCAGTATGTGATTGATTTCCCTGTCTCAAGTGTGATGGTCTCTGTCATGTCATACCTATTACATTAGACAATTCAGACAAACACGCGTTTCATGGCATGCACATACAGCTGCATGCGAACCTTGTTTCACGCTCACAGGCGGGTAGGTGCTGTGTCGGCCCTAACATATGCTGTGGGTTTGTGCCTAATAACCTGTGCTAGTCCGCGGTAGTAATCTGCCGAGCGATGCATATTGCGTTTGTTCTCTAAACATTTCCAAAATGATTTCAAAGTAATTCAACATCGTTCAACTTTGCGAATCAATGGTTTCTCATATTATATAAGTGTTATTTTTACGAGAGAGACGAATCTCGCAGAACTTGCACGCTTGCTTCGCTGTGCGTTGTTGCGATACGGATTGGAGTATTGTAGCTGATCAGTGGATATGGTGCTCTCATGTTGCTCTGGACCTAACATGGACTATATGCCTCCGTATGCCCCCATCAGACAACACGCTCATGGTCTTTGTAATGCTGTTGTCAATTGGCTAACCTCATCTCTGCTGCCGTTGTATTGGAAGTTAAAGGGTGCTGGAAAAATGAAATGCTCCGTATGGAAGTTCAAGCATCTACATGGGCTATCAACGCCATAAAGGCGTGTTCAAAGTACACAGCGCGCAGTGTCATATACTTGGCGGTTCTTCGCACCTCAGCCATACAGCCGTTCTCACCACTCCGATGTTCGGTTGTGCACAGGCTATTACACTCATGATGGGCCATCTGAACTCACAATTACCTACCACAAATCAAATCAAGGTTAAGAGCTTTATTAAAGGCTGGATAACAATGCGCGCCTCACCGCCTCACTGACGAACTAGTCATTTTTTTGTCATCTGCCCATTTGTCATGTATATATATATATATATATATATATATATATATATATATATATGTGTGTGTGTGTATATACATATATATGCTTAGTGGAATAGGAATTATGTTGTGCTTAGTGGAAGTTGGGTACGCAGATTCGCAGTGCAGAATTACACCAGAGTTGGTGGGATTGATACAGAGTTCCGTTTCTAATATTGTGCTTGATCAAGCCCACCAACTCTGGTATAATTCTGCACCGGGAATTTGCACATACTACTTCCACTAAATACAACATAGTTCTTAACATGTTTCATACGGCTCTAAACGACTCATCAGGTGGTGAGAAGAACAGAAAAAGCATGAACAAAGTAGATGCTTTGCTGTTTGGTAATTGCCATTCTCCGCGACTTTTCGGTAGAATGTTGAAAAGGGTAAAAAAGTCTCGAACGCATGGGGGGGGGGGGGGGGGGTAGGAGGTGGGAACATGTCCTCTCGGACGACAAATTCTGAACAATACCTTACGTAAATGAGTATTTGCTTTGGAAAGTCACACATTGTAAAAATCCAAACTGCGCGTACGCATAGCTTGGAAGAATGACATTAAGGTAAAAAAGCATCTGATAAAAATCTTCCATCTCGAAGCCTGAGTGTCCGGGTGGCAACATGTGTCATTTATGCAAGTCTAGGTTTCAAGGGGTTTGCACGCAAAAAAGTGGTTTACAAAATCAAGTGTAAACTGTGCGAAAAAAATTGGACGCTCATAGTCTATGTCGGGGAGTCCATGCGCCTTATTCGTTTGAGATATAATGAACACCTGACAGACGCCAAAAATAAAACAGGGAACAATACCCCCTTTGGTGACAATTTTTTGGCAACGCACGCTCGGGAGAGGTATGGACCCTATGCCCCTTTTAGAGCTCAAAGTCATCTACAGAGCACAGGACCACCCAGACAGGAAAATAAGTGAATCTATTCTTATAAATAATCGGCGACCAAATTTTAACGTGCGGGGCTCATCATGGCCGATTATGCGAACGTGATATGTGTCTTTATGTGTGATGTGTGCTAGCTTACAATCGTTTGCATGTGTAAGTGATGCCTGACGCGCGGTGCGCGGTGCCTGTTCAATTGAAATCGCTTACATGTGTAATTGATGCGCGATGTGTGATGTCTGTTTGCTTCAACTCGCCTGCGTGCTTAAATGCATCGTGATGCGTGATGCCCATTTGCTTAATTCTTGCTTGAATTCTGTCGCCCACCTGAAATTTCAATGTTGGGTGTGGAGTTCATGGTTCGCACACTGCTTGATAAATCATAAAAAGTGATTTCCCTCACCGAAAAAGATGCAGTCCTATACATTCCTTCAGCAGCCTGCTGTGAAGCTTCTTTTCTGACCTAATCAGGTCTACCCTGACCAAACACAATCATTTTAAAATACCGAGCCTCATTCTGGCATTAACAAATAGTCTGGCTAATTGAGATATCTGCTCTATGGAGCTTGCTAGGGTTATGTGTTATAAAGAACACTTGAGCCAAAGTTGCTTGTCTTCTCCACTTTTTAAAAAGTGGTTGGCATTGAGATTGGAAAGTCCCAATGGGTATGCATTGTTTTTGCTCAGCACATTTACATGCATGTCATAAATAAACGTGGGGCCTTTAAATGCCTGTAACCAAAGCCTGTATAATTTGAGCCATGTCGCCGACATTTTCCAAATGCTCATGAATGTCTCGTGAGAACATACTGCTTCTATCAATCTTTGCAAAGTCGTCTGTAAAGACTGACATGTTTAGTGCTGTTTGAAAACATGCGAATGGGTTTCTTTCTTTCCTAAAAGGTGTATTGTTTCAAGCACGACCTCATCTGCCGCGCACCTCCAGCTGCTATAAGCCGGCTGATGCTACCCGTGCCCGTATTCACGCCGAGCTAGATCGGGCGCCTGTGCAGCCGGCTCACGACGCTGAACACGTTCGGCGCCAACACGCTGTCGCGCGAGGACCTGCTGCGCATCCCTGAGCTGGCCATCAACCCGCTGGGAGACCGCAACGTGCACGCCTTCTTCCAGGACGGGTCGGTGAGGCGCGCCGCCGGGTATAGGGGCGCGACCGGCCTCACCGGTCCCGTCCTCATCCCCGTTCGCGAGCGAGGTGACGACGGCAAGCGGGCTCCAGGGAGGCCGTGGCGGGTGGGTGGGAGGGTGGGAGTGATGTATTCACGCCCCCAGTTCAACTGGGAGCGTGACGCAACGATCCCAGCGAGGTAACCGGTGTGCAAACTGCCGGCAGTGGGAAGAGCCAAGCAGGTGAAATGACACTGCATTCATGCAGGGGTGAGAACTGAGCAGAGAAAGCAGGGGTGAGCAGGGGTGAGAACTGAGCAGAGAAAGAAAGTAGTCACTCTTGGTGGTCACTCACCTAATTTCTAGCAAAAGGTCGGTCAGAAGTTGTTGATCTTCATGGCCATCAGTGAAGATCCATGATATATCTTGCATAATCTTGCATAATCTTATGTGTATGCCGCCGGCTTTTGTATGTTTGATAACGTTCGACTTGTTGACACCTTCGGCTTCCACGTGAGGGCCCGGGTTTGAGCCCCGACTGCACTATGGCCCTGATTGCTAAGGTGGCATGTGAGGCTGGTGTACATTGGGCTCTTTTTATCTAAAAAGTCATGGGATGTGCGTACGTAAGGTCTCATAAACAACTAACACGAGCATGCGAACAAGGAGACACGCTTTCCATGGACGTCTGCGATCGTGATATGGATGCCTGAGGTGGCGCTGACACCCGGGCCTTCCCACCGGCAGATCAACTTCCAGCTGACGCCCGGGCCTTCCCAACGGCAGATCAACTTCCGGCTGACGCCCGGGCCTTCCCACCGACAGATCAACTTCCGGCTGACGCCCGGGCCTTCCCACCGGCAGATCAACTTCCAGCTGACGCCCGGGCCTTCCCACCGGCAGATCAACCTCCGGCTGACGCCCGGGCCTTCCCACCGGCAGATCAACTTCCAGCTGACGCCCGGGCCTTCTCACCGGCAGATCAACTTCCAGCTGACGCCCGGGCCTTTCCACCGGCAGATCAACTTCCAGCTGACGCCCGGGCCTTCCCACCGGCAGATCAACTTCCGGCGGTTCCTGAAGACGCTGGCCATCTTCCGGCTGATACGGAAGGGGCGCGAGACGCGCCACAACTCGCGCGGCCAGAAGCTGCAGTTCGCCTTCCGGATGTACACCTGGACGGATATGACCTGATCTCGCCGGAGGTGCTGCTCTGCGTCCTGCACATGATGGTCGGCGCCAACATCAGGTGAGCACGTGTGACCTGATCTCGCGGGAGGTGCTGCTCTGCGTCCTGCACATGATGGTCGGCCCCAACATCAGGCGAGCATGTGTGACCTGATCTCGCGGGAGGTGCTGCTCTGCGTCCTGCACATGATGGTCGGCGCCAACATCAGGCGAGCACGTGTGACCTGATCTCGCGGGAGGTGCTGCTCTGCGTCCTGCACATAATGGTCGGCGCCAACATCAGGCGAGCACGTGTCCGGCCATTTTCCCGCGTCTTCAGGTGAGAACAGACCGCTGTCGGGTCATGGGACAGTAGCCTAGCATCAGCCTACCCGCCCCGAATCAGTCCTTAATCACTGTGTGGTCGCCGCCTAACAGCAGGTCAATAGGGCTCGACATCGGGTAGGTACGGGTTACTGTTCGGTCACTCGTCCGCACTGGCTCACAACAGGCGAGTTGGCCAACGGCTTGTCGCCTGCTCGGCATCAAGTGAGCATAGGTCTAGTCCCGCTTCCCGCCCGAGGATCAGGAACGGACCCGGGAACAGCCGACGAATCCAGACGTGCCCCGGCAGGTCAGGATCAGGTCAGACGTGCCCCAGCAGGTCAGGATCAGGTCAGACATGCGCCGACAGGTCGCTGGCACTTTTGGTCCCAACGACTTGCATAGTTTACAGTAGATGCAGGTGTTCAGAGACAGCGCGCGACGTATTGAGCAGATCACAATCCGGGGCATGTCTAACAGTGCTTCAGGCGTTCAAGAAACGACTCACACATACGCCTGTGCATGACATTTTAAACCTAGCTGTCAATCTGCAGTTTGCAAAAGTCCATTCGCAGTCATAACCTTACCAAGGCCTAAAACGCTCTAGTGCCTGAGCTTGAATGCGCATCATGGGCAGCTTACGTGATATTCCAACGCAGACGCGTGACCGAGAACTGTGACAAAGGATGGGCATATTGACGGCCAACAGCCTGCTCACCAGGGATGGGCATATTGACGGCCAACAGCCTACTCAACAGGGATGGGCATATTGACGGCCAACAGCCTGCTCACCAGGGATGGGCATATTGACGGCCAACAGCCTGCTCACCAGGGATGGGCATATTGACGGCCAACAGCCTACTCAACAGGGATGGGCATATTGACGGCCAACAGCCTGCTCACCAGGGATGGGAATATTGGCGGCCAGCAGCCTGCTCACTGATGCCTCCTGCCGGCCGGGGATAAATAAGCACAAGTTGCACAAGGCCCAAACTTGAGGACGATTGTCTGTATTCAAGATCGTGACATGGCAAATGGCGAAGCACTAAACGTTAGCCAAATAATGGCGACGTCAAGTCAAACCAGAATGCTAGTCTGTTCCAGTTTCACTATCACATTGCGTTTCAACGGCGGTGAGAGCCCCACATAATGCACGTGACAAGATACGACCAAAATGGTCATACATTGTCACCTGCGTTAGGATTAGTATGCCGGCTTTGAGCCAATGCGCTAGACAGCATGCGTCCGTGTCAGCGGGTGGCCAATGGCGCAACACCGCACGAGCGCGGCCGCCCCCCGGCAGGAGTCTGTGGAGCGGGGTCGGTATTCTTCGGGCGCAGAGCACGTGACTTCTGAGCTGCTGTCCGCACGCGCCAAGCCGTGCACGATGATGATCATAGTATGTATTGCTCGGGCCCGCGCGTGCGATCGGTGGCGCGCTCCGGTCGCCTTCCGTTCCGGTCGCCTCCCGTTCCGGTCGCCTTCCGTTCCGGTCACCTTTCGTTCCGGTCGCCCTCCGCTCCGGTCGCCTTCCGTTCCGGTCACCTTCCGTTCCGGTCACCTTCCGCTACGGTCACCTTCCGTTCCGGTCGCATTCCGTTCCGGTCGCCTTCCGTTCCGGTCGTCTTCCGTTCCGGTCGCCCTCCGCTCCGGTCGTCTTCCGTTCCGGTCGCATTCCGCGATGGATCCATATATTTAGGAGACAAGGCGTATAGCGTAGCATTGTATATTGATACTGTTGTAGGCGCCTAACTGTACGATAAAGTATAGCACGAGCGAGATTGAAAATCTACTAATAAACAGCAGTTCACATCACACGTTACCCACATCCAACAAAATAACACCGGCTCGCAGCCAGATCACACGCTACCGAACCGTCGACCCCAGTGCAGCTGATCGCTTGTCACTGGGCAATAGCTGAACCAAGTCACTGGACCAGCACCACCGTTGCCGTCCCACTGGACCAGCACCACCGCCGTCGTCCCACTGGACCAGCACCACCGTTGCCGTCCCACTGGACCAGCACCTTCGCTGGCCACGTCTCATCGGACGGGCGCCGCAGCTGCGGAAGAGGCCTCCTAGGCCTGAGAGGAGACGGCCAGCTTCTTGAGGTGCTCCATGAACACCTGCAGGCTGACGTCGTCGGTGAGCACCGGTGCTCCGCCCTCCTGTCGGCACGCGCCGCGTCAGGTTCCGCCCCTCGAACCCGCGCCAGGGGGCGGTCAGTCAGCTGACCATGCCCTGCCTTACGTTGGCGCGGCTTCTGGAGATCACGCGCCAGTCAGGCACGTTCTCAAGCTAAGATACATCAGTGTAATGTCTCCAGAATGTTAGAAGACCGACCAACTGTGAACTGACTAATTGCGTGCGGCGTCTAGTCCAACAACGTTTGCGAATTATCACACAACAATTTCTGTCAAGAACGCATTGCAAGCGCGAATGCAAATGATAATGAACAATACAACCTTACGTTAGGCTACAGGGCCTCCTTACACCCCGCCTTAACGGCCAATGATGGCAATTCACTTGAATTTCCACTTCACATCAAATGATAAAGCTCGGTCACGATCGTAGAGACACAGTCGCGGTGGGGATGCTCTTTTCAGGAACCAGCGTGCGCCACCACCTATTCAACGACCACCACCGAGCGCTTCGGGACCACGACCGAGAACGGCGCGGAGGGCGCCGCCGGAGGACGGCAGGATCAGCGGGAACAGGGTCATCGCCGCCGGACCAGTCGCCTCGGTCTGGTCGCCACCAGCCGCTCTCGCACACCAGTTATGTACAGCAGGGCGAGTCCGTGAGGTACCGATACAAAGGCGGAACCAGACAGCGCAGAGTGGTGGAGTGGTGCGCCCCACAGAAGCGCCGCATCCCAACAACACGGAGAGGAAGAGAGGACGGGGCGTCGAAGGCCCAATGAAGACCCAGAAACATAGCAGGATGAGCTGGGGGAGACCGCCAGAGAGCATGCAGCGTGCCCCGAAACCGGCCCACACCGAGACAACAAATAGTCAATACTGTACCCCTGATGAGCTGATAGCCACGTCCTGTGGGGGGAGGTCAGCTGGTGACAGGGTCACGTGACCTGGGGGGGGGGGGGGGGAGGGCCGCGCACCGGCGGAGCCGGAGGACGGGTGGCGCGGAGCCCTGCCATCCCGCCGCCGACCGCCCACGCGCGGACGCACGCCGCAGACGCGCCACAGCCCAGGAGTCGAGAGCTATGTGCGTTCGCGTGACACCAGCCTGGTGCGACTTCCCACCGCGGAACATCTACGACACGCCGATGGACAAGCCAAAGCGCCGTTCGGACACGCACTGACAATGCGTCCCATGCGCCCAATCAATCAACTCGACCTCGCTTGACATGTTACCCCGCTAAGCTGAGGCTTTACAGCCTCTGGAACATGAATAAAACGGGTGCCATCCCACCGGAAAGTACACCTTACGTTAAACGTGCGTTTCAGATTACGTCTTCACTGGCTCTGAGTACTAACACTGACGTCTATCTACACTGGCGCTGGCACTGAGTACATCCCCCACAAACACAGCGGCTTTCCATCTGCTGCGCACACCAGCATAGACCAGCGGCTGTTGCGCCTGCTCGACTGGGCCCAGCACCGCCAGGGCGCGGCCTCGCCGAGCCGGACCCGGCCATCCCCGCCGACGGCGCGGCATGCCCTGCGCGCGCAGTGCACCCTCCTGGCCGCCGAAGGCGTATATGATGTGCGTCAGCAACGGGTTCACCTTATGCAGCAGGAACCGCGCTTGTTGGTCAGCAGAATACCCGCCGTGGGTCAGACTGCGCGATGTTACCCAATCACGGGTTTTCAGGCCACCTGTGGCGGGTGCCACAGCAGTTCATCGCGGTGGCGGTCGGGGTCTGCACGCACGAGTCTGCCTACACTGGTCTGACACGGCTCCTCAATGGCGCGCTCTGCGATCTGCCGGTTCGATCACCACAGGCGGGCGGTGCATCGGTGGGCGGTTCGGCAACGACTGCTGCGACACACCAACCACAGCGGCACAGGCTTCGTTTGAGCAGGCACCGCGGCGGCGACTTCACCCATCCCGCGCCGCCGACGGCCCTTACGGCCGCGGCACGGCTCTAACAACAGAGGCGGGCGTCGTAAAAAAGCCACTCCAGCACGGCCGAGTGAGCCTTCCCGACGCGGCGCGGGACTCCGGCTCTCTGCACCGTCCGACAACGCCGGGCTCCGCCGGGCCGGTGCCGCGCCGCGCACCTGCGGCCCTGTTCCTTGTCGATGTAGCGCGGCATCGGGAAACGCGTCTGCAGGATCTCCTGCGCATCGTTCACCGGCGCCTTCAGCAGCTGCTTAAGGTTCTCGTACCCGGGCAGCTCCTGGTACTTGGCGGCGCGCCACTGCGCAATCGTCTGCAGGACAGACAGAGACGTGGGGCACGTCACCAGCCACACGGGCCGCGGTGCGGCGACGTCTGCAGGACAGACGCGGTGACCCTCAGGGCCGAGCTCCGCGCTCCAGCCTCGCCGCCGGGTCAACAGGCCGGGACTACCCCGCCGGCTGGCCCTCCCCTCCCTCCGGGCCGGGCTCCGCGCTCCAGCCTCGTCCGCCGGGTCAACAGGCCGGGACTACCCCGCCGGCTGGCCAAACACATCTCCACTCATTACGCAGGCGAGAGCATCACCGCAAACAAGCGACGCATAGTGCCGCCAACCGAAACAATCAACATGGTGACCATCACGAGACAGCGCTCCGCTGGGCCTGTCTCCCACGCGCTTCAGCTGGCGCACGCACGCGACAGCCGGCCGCTGGGCGTTCTCACGTCCCGGGCTCACCTCGCCGTGGAATATGGGGATCTGGAAGAACGTGTCCATTAGCAGGACATGGCCGGGCTGGATGCTGCTCGTGTCGGGCAGCACCAGTTCCGGCGGCCCGTTGAAGCTGTAGCTGTACCGAATCAGCGGGATCATGATCAGGCTCTGCGTTAGGTCCTCCCGCATCAGCATGTGCCTGCAGGGACCAGAGGTCGTCGTGAG